TCGCCTACTCCAGAGGTCCCGGGTTTGAATCTCGATGGGGGCAGATGTTTGTGTGATGAATACATGCATTTGTGCCCCAGTCATGGATGTTTAATATGTATTTCTATATAAAGATATTTATGTATGTATCAATATATTTATTCTATCCGTTACCCTTTTTTTACGATGAAAAATCCCTTGACGGACCGTACCGTGCGCTGGCGAGGCGCACGGCTAGTATCCCATAACGCAAGCCTCACAGTGCTTACTTTGGGGCTAGGCTAATTGGTGTGAGTGTTGGAAATGTTTATTTCTTATTATCTACTATTTTACGACGTGCTACCTTCGAAAGACATTTATTGAACGTTCGGATACTTCATTGAAAGATTACTACTAATGTATGAGTTCATTAACTTATTTAATTAATTAACTACTTTATTTAATTTTCTGTTTATATATTTGACTTTAACTACCGAAAACTACCATCAGTTCCAAATTGGGAAACCTTTAGACTTAAAAAAATTGCTTTTAAATTTTGGCCCGTTTAAGCGTGTTTCATTTGTTACTTTAAGTTTTAGTAACAATACTGTTTTAAAAAAAATATACTGTTGAAGCACTATTGAGATACGATTTTTACGTTACCTTAGCAGAATAGACACCCAAAGTGCTTGTTTGCCGACTTTAATACCCTACTGTCGCGTAATTAGAACATTACAATACAATGTTCCAAATTTTGTTGCACAATGTTGCTTTCTAGCGATAAGGCAGCCGCTTGTACTTTTAATATTATCTAAATTAATTGTTATGCCTACGTTATAATATGGTATAGCAATGATTCATAAATGAATCAAACTTGTACGTCACTAATGAAATATCTTTGTTTAAAACGTGAATTTGAATAAATATTTAGAAAAAACTTATATCTAAGTTTGATATCTTTCACTCGAACACAAGTGTAATTGAGCCATTTTCATTATAGTCTTGGAATATAGATCATTTGACTTCTATTAAATTGCAATTATGGATATTTGATTTAAAATAAAATAGTACCTACCTAATTAGAGTATTAGATAACGTTATGAATGAGAAAGAATAGAGTTTAAAACACGAAAACATTAATATGTAAAATATTGTTATGGAAGGTGACCTCATAAATTAGCTTCTATTAATAACTAGTGACTGCCCGTGACTTCGTCTGCGTAGAAATATTAGGTTCCCATACAAACTTCCTAAAGGGGGAAGGGTAAAACACCCAGGCGTAACAAGCGGCGACTCATAACTGGACGCAGTTACGCCTGGAGGGTGAGGGGTAGATCGCGGAATTGGTTTACCTGGTAGGTACGGGAGCAGGTCGGCTGGCTAGCCGCTCGGACTGCGGTCCGTGAGACTAGTCAAGTGACACTGTGAACGGAGAAGCCCAGGATCGGCTAAAACGGGTGTAGACCGGGCTGCTGTTCGCAGGAAAGGTGGTTTGATGTATGCCACGCTTGCATGAGTGCACGTAAATGTATACCCGCACCGACTTGCAGCGACCTGCGTCGCGAGGGTTTGCTAACAGCAAACCAAGGTGGCGTTGGCCATTTTCGTGAATATAATACATTTTTTCTCCACATCATCGAAAAAAAAGGAAGGGTAAAATACCCTTTAAGGGTTTGAGTTTTGGAAAATCCGAAAATCTCGCCTATATCAACAGCTCTATATGTGTCCCAAATTTCAGCACAATCCGTTCAGTGGTTTGAACTGTGCGTTGATGAATCAGTCAGTCAGTAACGTATAGTAACAGAAAAAGAAAATAGAGCAGCGCACGCATAACTTATAACTAATTCAACTCATATACATGTATATATGTATATATACATATATATGTATATATACATATATATATATATATATATATCGTCGCGTGCGACCCTCGTGACGCATATACCGTTTTCGCGTCGTGTGACGCTAGTGGTGCATTCCCGTTTCGTCTTTTCCGTAGGATTTTTCCATTTACACACCGTCCTAAAAGAAGTTTCACTTGAAAAACAGTCCTCGCTGAATTTCCTGCTGGTTATTCTTAGTACTAGGCGTCACAAAAGGTCGCCGTAAACTTATGAATCCTATGGCGCGGCGTAGATTTCCTCCTACTGATAAATAATGCCTGTAACCCCGAGCCTAAACGGAAAAAACGATATTGAATTTGGCAATAGAATCATTGTGACGGCAAAAACGCTCAGTTTAGCAAATCGCCATGGCAACGTTAAAATACCCTTCCCCTCCCCTTATTTTCGAAGTGAAAACTTCTTCAGTATCGTTGTGACTTGAGATCCGATGAAACGGAAGTAAAGTATTTGACAAAAGATAGGTATCTGTAATTTTATCATTTACTAAGTTCAAAGAGCCCTGCATTTTTATTCACAACGCCATCTACATATTTTGAATAAACTAAAGAGAGCACGAGCAGCGATATGGATGCTTTTTATAGCGTGCCAATGAGCAAAAACCAGAACCGCCCACAGAGGACACTCAAGTGTCATGAGACGTTTGAGAGAGTATAAAGCCGAATCTCGCGGGGTACCAGGTTCAATCCCCGGTCGGGTCAACTTATAAAATTGTCGTTTTTTATTTTCTCGAGTCTAACTCATTATTTTATCGTAGTTTTTTCTTATGCCCTTAATACAAAAGCTTCAATTTACTAATTTTGAAGAGTAATATTACGTATATGATGTTGAACAATATTTATTTAATGGATATCGTCAGATATGTTTATTACAGTTCATTTCTTGTTCGTTAATCGCTACAAAGCTTCTATCTTATCTTAGTAAAATATGTAAATAATTTGTTTATTAATTCGTTTTAGTGCCAACATCTAACGAGAAATTAAGCATTTTCTTATGTGATTACAGCAGTGCTTTAGTAGCAAGACTGGCATATAAGCATGCGTGCTTTAAATTATCTAACCTTTAAAATAGTTTGCTTAAAATTCCTTAGATGAGACTTGCGATCGCAAATACATTAATTAAATTTAAGTTATGTCTAAGTAATGAAGCTTATTTTTGTTTGCGAAAAATATAACTTAAATAAAATACCTATCATATTAATGATTGATTAAAAGTGATTATTTCAATGATACTTTAAACATAACACACATTTTTTTTTTCTTTTATTAAGCTATTATTCATTTTCCGAAACAATTTAAGTATAAAATATGTAATTTTGACCTAGAGAGTTAATTTTAACACAGGTGTTGTCTTTAAGTTTAACTTAGCTAGTCATAAAGGACTTTTGCGTGTTCATATTTTATTAGGTTTCACTTCTATCGCATTTTTTCCTTCATTGTTTTTGTTCCCCTTAATTAAATAATTTATATTTTTTCCTTAATTGTTTTCTGTTGTTATAGCGGCAATATAAATGTAAAGTGATACGCTCATGCCTATAAAATTCGAATACCTTCCTGTTAAAATCAGGTCATAAGATGCAGCCTGCTTATGAAAGGACGAACAGGACAGAGAAGGTTTGGTACTAGAATCAGTTATAATCCTTTGGATACGAAACCCAAAAAAAAACTATCGCAAAAGTGATACTGTTCATCTTTGTTACAGCATTTCATCAAAAATTACCTTAACACTATGCTGAACAAAGAAATCGTGCTAGTGGTATAACGTTCTTAAACCGTACAAACGACAAGCGGACTTTGTCTATCTACTTTAGCAAAACACTAAAATTCAAGCACATATTCAAACCCTGTAGGAGTGTTTATTGCCTACTAGCTGTTACTCACGGTTTATTAAAGATATTTTCCCGCAGTTAAACGTAGCCTATGTGTTAATCCAGGGCGTCCGCTAACTCCATAAAAAATTTATTAAAATCGCTCCAGCCATTTAGACGTGAAGAAGTAACAAACATACACACTCACAAACTTTCGCCTTTATAATATTAATGTGATATTGTCTTAACATTATGTGGGCGCCTCTGCGTAAAACCAAACCAACTTAGAAAATTTATACTCATCAAAAGAGTCTAAGCAATATAAAAAAAATGTGAATTAAGAATAAATTTATAAAAAAATTAATACTTATATTTTTTTTTATAATACAATTTGACTTATTTGTGACGAAAGCAATAAAAACTTTACTAAAATAATACAACAAAATAAAATATCAACTGATAAGTTTATCACTTTGCGTATTTTTTTATGGATAGGTCTGACAAATGACTCCACCCCACCTGATGCTAAGTGATGGTGAAGTCCAGATGTGAAGATAGCTGCTAAAGCAGTTCTAGTTTCGATTTTAATAAAATAATATAGTAATTGATGCATGTTGCATTGACTTCTTTGATATGTGTATTTAAAAATCAAATTTTTTATGTGTACTTTCTCAATAACAGCAGTCAAATATTTTCAACATCCACCAAACTGAACGCATGCTCATCTTTACAGATAACGTGCAATGGGACCGACACTGAGGAGCAGCGATACCAGCCCGCTTCCTGACCAGCTGCTCGATAACCCCGCGCATCGGCCAAATACGAAACACGACTATCACACAAACACACACTAAGTCAGCGATAGCCAAGTTCGTCTGTTATCAGTCGCATGCGCAGCTCCCGCGCGTACCAACCTAACCGCGCGACTCGAGACGAAATTGTGTTTCTGTCACAAATAACAAAACACGCGCTAACGAAATGTAATAAAGATAATTACCATCGTTGAAATTAAAACACGCGCGTCCTGGATGAAACAAAAGTAGCTTCAATTTATCCTAGACAACCCCACGCAAACCTGCATAAAAGAAAATTCGTTTCTATAAAAGTATTGTTATTGACAGTTTCGCTCGACCTCAAATGGATTGATTAGTAGTTTGATATTAAACAGACAAATCCACGCATCTCGTAATGGAATACATGTAATTTCTGAAATCCTAACGTGAATCGGAATGGAATAAAACTATAGTTTCAACAAGCCCGCGCAACCCGGAATGGGGGCAAAGTAGTTTCAATCGCTATAGACAAACGATGTTCGTGAATGGTATGTTAAAATGGGTGATCTGCTGCCGAGTATACCAAAGAGTACGTTCGCGAGTGAAGTAGACGGACACAATTGGAGTGTTGTGGGCCTGGACGAGTACAGCGACGACGAGGCTCTTGCCGCCGTGGAGCTGTTCAAAGATTACCCGGAAGCGCTGCTCCGCTTCGCTTCGGTTTGCTGCGTGCTGTTCATGCTGGTCGGGATCCCTGGGAACTTGATCACCATTGTGGCGTTGGCTCGTTGCAAGAAGGTTAGTGCTTTATTATTTTGTTGTTTTTTAACATCATATGATGCTTTGTTTCAGACCGCGTTGTTTCATCGATAATTAAATTTGACTAGCACCTCAAATACAAAGACAATGTGTAAAATTTTAGCAAATGATTGTTTATTCTCTAGTATTTTAACTTTAGTCAAATTTAACTTTGGATGAAACAACGTGGCCTTAGTACTACTACGAACATTTTTCTTTTGTTTTTGTTTTGGGAAATGTATAGTCGATATCATGTAGGCGTATACAAATTACATTGTGGACAACATCAATAACAGTGATATTCGTGTTACTGCACGTGATAATCAATAAAACCTTACAGAGAAAAAAATTAAGCGGATCTTATTGATCGGGTTTTTAAAGAAGTAATAAACTTGTATTTACTGGAAATACTGTAACAGTTGATTGTTATTTAATAACAACAATCACTCATACATATACGTACTTATATCAAATTAATGTAATAAAATGTTAAAAGTATAACCAACAACCGAACCAAATAAACTGTTTTTATTGAGCTCCATTGAGAACTCATATGTCGAAAAATGAATGTTACGATAACTCGATTAATCGAAACAAACGCAATGAGGTGTCAACCAAATCAGCATTTCAATCTGAATGAACATTGGAACATCATTGTTCAGTATCAAAGCATATATAAAGATAAACTTGTGAGTTATTTTGAAATTATTAAATTCCGCACAAAATTAATTTGAAATTCTTATTAACATTATTTTGAATTGAGATGAAATTAAATTGTAAATACTTGCAACAAGGTAAAAGAAAAAGTTAATATTCGATCACATTTATATTTAAAAGAGCTTTATTTGACAAACAGAAGCAAATAGCATAATATAGGACATCAAATACCTACAAACCTTTTCCTGACAATAATATGAAATGAGCACTAAAAACTGAAATAACCAATTTGGTGCAATGTTTCGCAAGCTATGTTCGTAAGCGTGGTACTCTATGCTGAAGGGATAAGCCTCTGTTGAATTCTGAATAATAACCACGAATTATTATTGATTGTTTTATTTCGAAATAGGAGTGAATTACATGAAATACGTACTACCAACTACTCGCTTTTGTGCCTGAATTCTATCTGCTGGAATCTTCGATAAGAGACAAAATATTCCCATATTCAAATCTTTAAAATAATGACATTTACTGTTTATTATATAAGTGCCAGCCGTAGGCATTACATGAGCAAGAGTTTACGTAAGCAAAAAGGTCGTAACGCAACGGGCGTTACAATACCTAAATACATTTCAGCGATATTTTTTGTGTATAATAGACAAAGAAAAAAGTCTTAACTTCTACCAAATTTCGTCTAAGGGCCTATTGTTTAATACGTAATTAAATGTGACTATAGTTGAAATACTATATAAAAGTTACCATTTGCCAAAATTAAACACATCATATAAGTATGTATTTCACCTGTCATTGACTAATAATCAAATTATATTATGTATAAAACAACGGGATTGGGCATTATTAACAAAATAATACTTGGGTTACCTACAATGCGCAGAGAATGCGCAGACAGATCTAAGATTTTCTAGAGAAAATTTGACACAGCCATCAGGGCCGCGGTAGCATAATGGTCAGTATATTCGCCCGGATAGCGAAGGGTGCTGGGTGGAGGCACGTCTGGTGCCTGGCCAGCGTGGATTTTTTTCTAGTAACATTTTGTTTAGATTCAGACATATAGCAGAATTGCTTAAAATATAAAAAGAATACTTACTGAGTTCCAGTCCTGAGTAAAAAACAAATCAAGTGCCATTTCGTAGAACCTTAATATCATTGCTTTTTGCCAAATTTCATATTTCCAAGTATTTGAAATTGCCCTGCCGGTATTGAATTCATTGCGAGCGTCAAATAAAGTAAAATATGCAACATAAAATGTATATACGATGTTTTTTTTTTTATAAATAGGTCCGATAAATGACTCCACCCCACCTGATGTTAAGTGACGGTGAAGTCCAAACGTAAAGATAGCTGGTACAGCAGTTCTATATTTTGATTGCTGTAACTTAGAAGTTTTTGACGTGACAACGTCTTATAATTCGATGGAACCGGCTGCACGCACGAAAAAACATGACTCATGCGGCGTTACCTCGCTCTGAGGCGTTCCATTTAGGGTTGAAGTGCAAGCGAGAGCGCACAACGAGCGACAAAGAGGCACAATCGCCCTCCGCGTTCGGCAGCGTTCGACATCTGTCTCTCTCCTTCTTGAGTGAGCAATGCGTCCGCGTGGACAGCTGTTTACAATAATATATATTTACATGTTTTCGTCAAGTATGAAGTGCAGTGAAAAGTGAATATGGTGTCAATTGTTTATAGCAACGATAATTGCGGCGATAAAGGTGATATCACACATGTTTAAAAGTTGTAAATAAAAGTTGTAAAACAATTGCTCAAAGCACATTCATACTTGTTAAAACTATGTACATTGTAAAAAAACGTTGTCACGTTCAACTATCGTCAGTAAACCTACTTTACAGAGAACCGATTTTTGTTTCTATTGCAGACCTGAGAAAAGGGTTTTTGATATAAGGGAAAATATCGTCCGATTTTACACGAGCTTAGATTAGTTACGTAGCGAAATTAGTAATGGTTACTCTATTAAGAATTTGGAGTTAATTGAAATAGTACGAATGCTAAACTTATCTTCAATGTTAGATAAATATAGTCCCAACGTTTATTTTATCTACAATAACAATTAGTTAACGTATGGAGACTGTGTAAATCAAACAGATAGCTTTGTTTACAATTTTACGCATCCAAGATAAGATGGTCAGTTTGAAGAAACACTATTAAACAGCGGTGGCATCCTTATACTTGGAGGGACTTCTTTTATTCAGAAAATTAAATTCATAAGGCAGTTCCACAGGAAGCGAAAGAAAAAGAAAGAGTGGCAGTGACTAACTTCACTGCACAGACACAAAGTAAAAGTTTCTTTGTCAAACGCGCTGCAGTCTTCAAGTTTTGTCGCTTTTTATTCATTCAATATTAAACTTCAACGTTTGAATCATTTCTCATCTGTGCTTTAGATTCTTGAAAGCCGTGTTATACTATATAGATAAATTCTATAAACCTATACAATAGGCACAATCACTATCTTTAATTTTGGATCTACCTAAGGTTGAATATCGGATGGCAAACAGACATCATAAGAACAAATTTTTTGACCGAATACGTTGCTCAAACAGCATAATGAGCAGGTATGTATTATATATGATTATTGAGGAGCTCGATGGCGCAGGTGGTTAGCGCGTTCGGCTGCGATCGTTGAAGTTAAGCAACTTTCCAAGTGGTCGGTCATTGGTTGGGTGACCAAAAATCTTCTATCTCGAATTCCTCCGTGCTTCGGAAGGCACGTTAAACCGTTGGTCCCGGCTGCATCTGCAGTCGATAGCACCCGTCAACCCGCACTGGGCTCGCGTGGTGGGTTCTGTAGTATATTAGAAGGTAATCGAATAATTATTTATCTGTCAGCCGAGTGTCGAAGCTGTCCCCACCAGTCCGTTAATAAACGTCTAGCCAAACGGTAGCCTTTTATTTACGCATACATATCAATGGCGACGAGGAAAAAGTGAAAGCCTGTTACCGTTACCAAAAGTAATAGAAGTTAAAGACTGCGCTAATAGTGATAATACGTAGCACGCGAGTGAACTGTTTCTGCTGAAAATAAATACCGTTAACAATGCCGATTGGTAAAACAAGTGAATTTGATGTTAAATCGGGTAATTGGACGTTGTACATCGAGCGGTTGGAAATGTATTTCAAAGTTAACGAAGTAAAAAAGGACTTATGGTTACCAACTTTGATAGCCGTTATGGGCGATGAGGCTTATGAATTATTAAGCAATTTAATAAGTCCTTATAAGCCGTCTGATAAAACCTATGAGTACATCGTGAAAACTTTTCTGGAACATTTGCAACCAAAAAGGTCGGTAGTAGCAGAAAGATATTATTATAGGCAGCGAAGGCAATTTAAGACAGAAACTATTTTGCAATACATCTCCGAGTTGAAAAGATTAACAAAATTTTGTAATTTTGGAGCTACTTTGGAGGAAAATTTGAGAGACCAGTTGGTGTGCGGTTTGGCTAGCGACGTAATAAGGCAGAGATTATTCGCCGAGGATAATTTAGACTACGCTAACGCAGTTAGACTAGCCTGCGCGATGGAGGCCGCGGAGCGGAACGCCGCAGCGGTGGAGCAGCTCGGAGCAGGGAATTTGTCCGGGAGCGAGGCTGGCGCGATGGCAGTACACGCGTTGAGATTCAGCCCACGTGGTCGAGACGGCGGCGGTGGCCGCGCTGGTTCGGGCGATCGGCGGGTTCGAAAGGAGCGGTATGACTCACGCTCACCACGCCGAGGAGTTGCGCGGGATAATATCAGTCGTTCTCATAAGATTTATGAACGTTGTAAAGTGTGCGGGTCTGTTGATCATCCGTGGGAAGAATGTCGTTATAAACGTTTCGTCTGCGGAAAATGTAAACAACGTGGACACTTAAGGCGGGTGTGTCCGGGACGTTTTTATGACAAGATCAACACGCGGCGCCTGCATCACGTGACGGAGGAGCCTTCAACGGAGCAACCGGCCGGGCATGTGGATGATTGCGTATCCGAGGAGGACCCGGGGTCGGATTATGAGGCTGAAGAGGAACTGCATCAATTAAGTTTAAACGGCTATAAGCCGGTGAGTTTACCTGTATTTATAGATAATTTCAAATTATTAATGGAAGTAGATACGGGCTCGGCGGTGTCCTGTATTAACAAATTAACTTATGATAAATATTTTAGCCACAGACCAATGGAGAATCCTAGTTTATCATTAAAGTTATATGATGGCACTAAAATAAGGCCTGTCGGGGTAATCAAACCTACAGTTAAATATGAGGAAATAAATAAATCTCTCGAATTATTCGTTATTGAAGGGGGGGCCACTTCCCTTTTAGGTCGGCAGTGGCTGA